GGAGCTTTGTTTTTTTTTTATTTTGTTGTGCTTTGATTTTATCATGCTTAAGGTTGTTTTGTTTGTCTATCGCGAGGATAATAAGTTCTCTTGCCCTCCTTGGCCCGGCACAAAAGCATTATTGAGATTGGACTTGTAGTGCGTTCAAAGTGAAACAGGTTTAGTGAAGAGTTAATTATGCTGTCAGCAGCGTTGTTTCAGCACTGACCGTTGATGCCGTCCGTTGTAAATCACGTCACGTGACGTGAATGAGTCGCTTTGCGAATTGTTTGAAGAACATCTACCCTATTGCACCAGGACACCACATTTTATGGTCGAAATTGATATTTTCGGTTTTCAGATCCAGTCAAAGCGATCGAAGATGTCCGATCTGAGCGATGAGGTGATGAGTGACGAGGAATCGGCTGAGATGTACCGGCAAGTGTTTGGCGAAGGCGAACCCGAGTATATGTTTGAACAACTTATTGATGGCCCCAATGTAGAGCAATTCGATAATGAGAAGGAACGAGAGGATACGAATGAGAATATGGTTAGTCTCAAGTTTATCCAGGGAGTTTCGCCCAGATGACCTATATCAGAAGTAATGGAAGGTTCAGCTCGTAGATCCATCTGGCAGTATTGTTTTTCTTCGTTGTTTGTGTATTTGGGTGTTAGCCGTTATTTTCACAATTAATATTGCTCCTTATAGGTGGATTCAAGGGCAGCACGACAGATTTCTCGAGGATTGCCTACAGTGAAAAAGCTCACGATCAAGAACTTCCGAAGTAAGTTGTTCGTCTTATTGGTATCGGTACTTAAGCTGCAACCATAGTTTTCGTCGGCGTTTCGAGCGTTTTGGGCCAAAAGAAAAGTGTAGGTATAAATCTCTCCTTTTGGTTAAAACGCCACCGGTGCCACCCGTTTTGAGCGTTCTAAGCGTTATGGAAGGAACTGTAATTTTGAGTGGAAGGAAAGTATAGGTATCGACCCACGGTCTAGATCGTTCCGAGCGCCGATCAATACCTTTTCTTTCATCTTCGCACGAAACGCTCAGAATGCCTACGAAAACTATGAGCACTATGAGCACAGCCTTATCTGGAACGCCTATGATTTTTACGCAGAGAGATTGATAGATTACTTTCATTGCCTAGTATTTAACGCACTGGACGCCGAAAAGTTTCTTGAGGATATCCTCCAGAATTTTTGCTCGTCTGGGCACGTGCATTGAAATCAATGCAATGCAGTCACATTTTACGGAGGCAATTCAGATGCGCTCGATTATCTTCTTAAGGCTAGTCTACATTGCATCGAAATAATTGCGAGGGTACTCAAAATGAGAGTAGGGGTGGGCATTGGGTGCAATGCACAGTCATCACAAACGAAACGAAACAACAGAACGAACCCGCACCTCACGCTTTCCGGGCGAGTGCGCTATCCGTTACCACCAGGGCCGCTTTTACCCTCTCAGCTTAACGGCTTATGCCGTAACCTTACAGCACTCACACGTTTAACTTGGTGAGCCGGTCAGCCGTAATCGTTAGATATCGGCATGGAACCGCCGAAGGCTTACAAGTTTTCGAAGCTTTTGTTATGATGACTGCTGTTTAACGCCGCAGTACGCGTTCCAAATGTTATCACAAGAATGCCGAGTCGCCCGGAAAGCGTGAGGTGCGGGTTCGACTCCTGCCTGGGGCACGACTTTTGCCCACAACTCAGCACCAACTGCGACGACAGCAGTTATCATAACAAAACAGCAATGCACAATGTTTTGAATGTCATATATTGGCCTGTTGCTAATTTAAACTATGCTTCATAATTCCACTGATAACAAAACAGTGTTGTCGGGGTTACATATTTCAAGACCAGGTGCGCAGATTTCCGCTGATTCTTCATCCATTTTGTCATCCCAAAAGTCAAAATATGAATAGTTATTTTGTGGCAGATTTTGGAGGAAGTGGGTTACTTTGTAACTAGCAGTAACATTGCATCAGATGTTCACCAAGCTGGACCTAGCGGGTGTATGTCAAGACAGTCTTAATTTGCTGCGCTTGTGGGCGTGGCGAGCGGCGCCGCGCCCCACGGACGTGTTGTCGTTCCTGTTTGTTTGAATTTGAGCGTTGGAGAAATTGGAAGATGTACCCGTCATCGTAGCACCCGTCATGGAGAGTCGTCTCCGCTTGAGAACATACGAGTTGCGGTGCTCCAAGAGAAAAACTAAGACATAACCAGAACTCGCCGCGCGATATGCCGCGGGCGACAACTTACGGTGGTCTTGTCTCTCCCAGAATTAGCGCGCCGATCTCAATTCCCGCCCTACCGATTGATATTCATTATGATTACAATTTTTACAGGAAAGAATGACGACATAGCCGATTTGATGGCAACTGGATGGCTTACTCTCGAAGCGAGCATAAATGCTATTCAGACTAAACAACATGTCACTACGAACTTGGAACAGCTGTATAAAGTAAATCTGTTTTTATCAACCGTCGTATCATTTTGTTAGCTTTCACAGTCTAGGTGGTGGAATCGTTGTGTGAAAATAAAATGGCAAGAACCACATATGACAAGCTGTTGGACAATATCCGCAAGTGGATTGGTCGATTTAGGTACGAAACCCTTTCGATATGCTTGTTGAAACTATTCCTTATGCCTTGGTTGTTATAACTTACTTTGGTACTTTTTATCCATCACTGCTCCGTTTTCCGATCTCAAGCACCAAATCTCGAACAAGCTTTTTTCCCCGACTAATTTCTCGATTCTGACCCCCCCCCTCTTGGTACGGAACCGAGTGTTTACACGTCAGAAACATGTGATATTCGGGTTTAGTGGGCGGGGAGTAGGTCAGTATGCCACTGGAGGCAGAACTCTCGCCAGGTCATTACCTGGAAAAAGAGTCTGGGTTAAGAGCGCGTTCATACTCTCGGTTCAATCGCGCGATTCAAACACCCAAGCTGTCCAGGCGCGAAGTATGAACGCGCTTCAACGCGAATTCCGAAAGGTGGGCAGTGAAGGGTAAATATCATCTTTGATTATAGTGGAGGCATAAATTAACTCGCTAATTAATACTCAACCTCCATGTTCAAGGAACGAATTGAGTGAAAAGTGCGTAGCTGGTGGAGTGGAGTTTATGAAGGCGATAGAGAATCTTTGGAGTGATTATTGTGAACAAATGGTAACGTTTGCTATGTTGATAAGGTTGATCGGAAAGTCCTGCGACAATTTGACTGCAGTTTCGGCGTGGAGTTTCTTCTGCTCGGTCATTTCTTCTATCAGGGGTCAAAAAGGAACGCGGTTCGATTTTTTTAAACATATTGTTAGAAGAGTCGCATAACCTTCTCGATCAGCCTCATATGACGAAAACGAAATCTTGCTCGACAACCTATGGTGCTCATTTTTTTCAGATTCTTATTCGTAACGTATTCTTATACCTTGATAGAACTTTCATTCTAGAAAACATTGACGAATCACCCATTTGGTAACGTTTTTGGGCAGTTTTTTATGCGAGTGGGCATTTTGACTTTTTGTTATTATTGTATGATTTTAAGGGAGTCATCTTTGGTAATTTTTCGTGAGGAAATTATACTGCATGGCAGTGTACTGAAAAAGTTGGTCTCTGGAATTTTAGATAGAGTTGCCGAAGAAAGGGCTGGAGATCAGGTAACTTTGATTTTCTTGCCTCTAAGCCCCTGTGAGACAGGGATAAGCTGAAAAGCAGCTCACTTCTGTCGTAGAAGATCTTCACTTTCGCTGTGGTAGAAGACGCTAACTAACTGATATAGGCACTCTAGAACTATCAAACTACAATTAATATCTGATTAAAATGGAGCGGCGCTTAGACAGCGTTCATAGTTGGCTACTCCGCATTTTGGCTCAGTGTCTCGAGCGAAGAGAAAACACAGTTATTGAATCGACACCCGGTTCACAAAGAAAAAAGTTCTGAAACGCTGCTTTTCTAGAAACACCAGCTTCCCTAGTGCCGATTAGATACTATACATAATATACTCTTCGCTCAGAACGCCGAGGCGCAAAAAGTATGAAAATAGCCCTGGGGATATACGCGAAATATTTCCCTCGGGACCAAGTCTGTGAGATTAGGCTCAAGTGGGAGTTCTACACTTCGGTGTTGTTCACCATTGAACTGCTTGATTAGGAACTTTTCGGTCAACCATTTCTGTTGCAGGTGGATCGTTATTTATTGCGAGCTCTCCTTCGAATGTTGCGAACACTTGATTTATATAAACAGGTAAACCTTATCGTCGCTCCAAGTTTCCACTAATTTTCTGCTAAACTTTTTTTGCGCTGTTGCTTACGTTTGCTTGCTCCTCGAGCACATTGATCAGTTAGCGGAGTTTTGCTGTCAAACTGAATGAGAAATATAATACTCAGGTTAGCTTCTCGCATCGACCTGCTATATCCTGATCTTAAATAAGACATTCGTTTTAGGTTCCGGTTCCTTGTAGCACTGGCACCTCCTTCACCAAAGTCGCTACGTGCTCAAAGAGTTGGTTAAGCATGTGGCAATTTTAGTGAGAAGAGATGATCAGCGCCTAGAAGAGCCAGGACGCATGATGCAAATTCCTTTGAGAGCAAGCCATTCTGAATACCCTCCGCTTCGTAGTTTCTGGCGCCCTGATTTACGAACAAGGCGTCCATCTCTAGTGTGGGCAACATTTAGCGCTGAATTCCGACATGGCGCCTCGACTTTAGCCACCAAATTTTTACATTCGATTAATTTGGGTCCTAATTACAAACAATGCATTCTTTTTCCGCGGCGCTAGCGCTCTTTGCCGAGGTTGAAAACTTGGGTCTGAAAGTGATCCCATCCCTTAGGCTCAACGCGGGGTGCGGACGGCCAGAGGGTCCTACACTAGCAGCGGCGCCGAAAATGAACGTCATATCCGTGATTAGAACGTCCGCAGGAAGAAACCCCGCTGTGCGATTTTACATCGATATGGGTGAAGATGATTATAAGGCGAATCGGCGTGTAGTGGCGCCCACATCGAAAAGGGGATCCTGAGCAACACATACAGGCAAAGTTCAGGATTTTTCAAAGGATTTTTGAACGGTAGTGATAAATGAACCCTACCTTTTTTATGAGATCCGATGCGCACAAGGATTGAGGACATATTTCGCTGATATTCAGACCTCGTTTTCATAATGGCCCAATCTGTTTCTAGTTTTTGCCTTTTTTGCCTAGTTTCCTTACCCTTATGCTCTGAAAATTGAATCGATCGCTCGATCGATACAGCTCTAGTGTTGCGCTCTTAACATAAGGCAGACGGCGCCATGCGGTACACTCAAATTGTGTATTTTCGCTATACTTATACGAAGTACTTGTCACCTGTGTTTGCTCCCGCTTAAAAATATTTTGCAGTTCACTAATGTAGCATGTAGGCCTGCTTGGTAGTGATCTGAGGTTTTTTTTAACTTGCAGGCTCTTCGATAGATGAAATTCCTTTCAAAGCACGAGGCGTTCATTATACTCATGAAAGTATGTCATTGGTTCGGTCCCTTGAGGTACGTGGTTTTCACAGAAAGTTCATCTTTTAAAGTGCGTTCATACTTTACGTTCACGTCTTGTGAGTACGGCAGAGTTTTGGGGGACTAATAAAGTGAAGGTGAAAAGCCCGTGGGGTCACTTTGCTTCGCGAGGTTTTGCAATTTCTTCAGTGCTTCATAAAAAAGCGGACTCATTTTGGTGAGTTCGTTTCCTAGCCAGCTAGTTCTTAGAGAGTCTGAGGAAATGAAAGTCTTGCTGCAACTCTGGGTGGGGTGGATTGAACTGGACCATCTTCATGAGTGACTTATTTTTCTCTTTTCCAGTGCTAGGGCTTTCATTGAAGGCCGAATCAGTAGCATCAATGATTGACTGAAAAGCGAAACATGCGGCAATTGCTAATTTTATAGACTGTTGCTTTTTGTTACACGTTGAACGTCGAATCAAAGAAGAAAATGAGCGAGTCGATCTTTACCTTGACGAAAGCACTCGAACGCCGCTGTTGACGAGAGCTGAAAAATGCCTTATAAGTGATCATATGCAGGAAGTCGTAGACAATGGTGAGCTTCTTTCTATCGAATTTCCTCTCATTCGTATGTTTGAAGAAAATTCTTGAGGTCTCTCGGTTGTTACCTGAACGAACAATCGCTGTGAGTGATGTGTCACGACTGTATTCTCTCCTCAGTCGGGTCGATGGAGGGATTGCCCTGCTCAAGACAGGATTTTCATCGTATATCAAGGTGAGTTAGAGTTTGAATTAAAGTGGGCAAGCTCATAAGAGACGTAGGGGGCAAATCTGGCTGCTGGAAAGGTCTAGAGCTGATATCGTCGTTCAGTCAACCACTTTGGCGCGGCGGAGTTAAGGGGAGTGAAATGAGCCCTTCTGCGGCTAAGTTTTCTACCGAGTTTTAGTATAAAAAAATTACCACTGGTAGGAAACGCCGCGTCCGCTCTCAATCCATTGGCGGGACTTGAACCCGCACCTCACGTTTGCGGAGCCAGTGGCTGTCTATCACGCCACCAGGGCCGCTCTTACCCCTCCCAGCACGATGACCGGTGAATAGCGCACTCGCCCGGTTAGGGGGTTCGATCCCGCCTGGGGTCTAACTTTTGTCCATAACTCAGGATTCCTGTGATACTCATCAGCGAAATCCCTCCGAAATTGAAGTACAAAGATTATTTGAAATCCTCCCCGGCTACCTAATAAATGTACAGTCATGTAGAGTAGATCTTTATTGCAGAAGGTTGGAAAGTCCATGATCATGGATCCTCAACGAGATCCAACGATGGTTGAGGATTTGATGACTTTCAAGGATAAATTAGATGTTTTTGGTGAGTTTGATGACTTTTGGCACAATTTTCAGTGTTGTAACAATTTGCGAGGTAACATCTGTCAAGCACACCTTCAGAAATTGAATTTCAGTCGAAACTTGTTTTGGATCCGGTGATGACAAGATGAAATTCGCTCAGGCTGAAAAGGATGCGTTCGATTACTTTATTAATACTCGCGGGAATAAGCCAGCTGAGTTGATCGGTATGGCTAAACTTTTACGTCGTCTCACCGGTTTTTCTCAAAGCCTATTTCTATATGTTCCAGCTAAGTTCATGGATGCGAGATTGCGTAGCGCGAATAAAGAGGCTTCAGATGAGCAGTTAGACCAGCTGATGAACAAAGTGATCACCTTGTTCCGCTTCATCCAGGGTTAGTAAGTTGGTCAGGAAACGCTTTGTCGGACCTCTTTCATAGTTCGAGACTCGAGCGATTCCCTCGCGCTTTTGCGACTGACCGCGCTCTGACTCCAATCGTTAAAACGCTGGAAAGTTCGAAATAATTGTTGTCCTGAATAAGGTTGCAGCAGTCCAGCGATTAGCGATGGAGCGTGATCCGTCAAAGTCGTGCAGCTGACAAACCGCGAGGCTTGAGTGGCGAACTGTGAACGCAGCTTTAGGGGTTCCTTGAAAATACATTTGCAATAGTTGCGCCGGCTTCATTGGCTTCTCGTCAGCCTCCGATGCTGTGGCTGTTATGAACTCACCTTGCGTTTGACCTTTTCTGAAGCTTCTATCTAGTTTCATTTAGGAAAGGACGTGTTCGAAGTGTTCTACAAAAAGGATTTAGCCAAGCGGCTGCTTCTGGGTCGAAGTGCTTCCGTTGACGCCGAGAAGATTATGTTGAGTAAGCTGAGACAAGGTGTGTGAAACGTTATGCTTTCTTTGCACTTTCTACTGCTGCGTTCATGGTTAGCGCCAGCGTTTCGAGCCTGTGCGGGTGTTTTGAGCGTTTGAAGCGGCGAAACGCTGACGCAAAGTATGAACGCAGCCTAAGAGTTGTGTAAATTCAAATGCATTGGAAGAAGTGATTTGGTTTCCAGTCTTTCTTTCTTTGTTTCAAAATATGTTGTGAGTTGTAGGCTGGCTGTGTTTTCCGCTTTACAGTGTTCCCAGGGCATTTTCATAGAACGTAGTGTGGTAGGCGCGAATTAGAAGTGTTCATACTTCGTGTTCATACTTTAAAGTGTTCATACTTCGCGACACGCGACGAGTGACTAACGGCGCGACACCACTAGTCGCTGGACCCTGCAACTGTTAGTTCCGTCATACTTCTCTCGAATTCAGACCTGAACTGTTGACTTTCACATAATCTTAGACAAATGTTCGAATTGCGAGAGTCCAACGATCAGCTCTAAAACGCCCTCAGTCGCTCAAGTCGATCGTTTGAATCACGCCAATTGCGAAGTGTGAACGCACCCTCGAGCCTTTCAATTAGTTGATTGGATAAAGTTTTCTTATGCAACTGTAATTTGCCAGAGTGTGTTAATCGCAGATAGTGTGGTGGCTGGTTTCACGGCCAGGAAACTGAGGGAATGTTCCCGGGATATGGAGTTGTCGAAAGATCTCGGAGTTGCCTTCAGAAATGTGAGTCGTAGTGATAATTTTAATTTTTCTTGAAGTTCACATCCTAAGAGGGGAGCTTTTCTGTACACTTCTTGCTGATTTCTATGGTTTAGCATATTCTGTAGACAATGCTGACCACCAAGAGCAGTAGTTATTCTAATCCTTCTTCATGACCTCACTTTTCAAATTTGTGCTACTTTTCACGAACATCGCCGCTTGAGGTAGATTTATGGAAAGCTTTGTCTGTAAGCGTAGTTTGGCCTTCTCAACATGAATCTCACGTTTATTTGGTGCGCAGACGCGCGTCATCCAGCTTCTTGAATCCACGATTACGCGCCGACTGGATCGAAGCCACGTACTTGGCAGCCGCGCTAATAGACCAGCGACTGTGGCGCGACTGCAAGCTGTTCTCGGCCAAGAAGATGCGATATGTTCTCACTGGAACAAGCTATCCCCTGGAGCAAAATTTCCCGCCAAACTGGGATTTTGAAGTAAACATTAATAAGTGAGATGGCAAAAAGTTTATGCTCCCGGAGACTTTGTTGAGGATCCAAAGCTTCCCACAAAGTTTTCATTCCACCTTTCCCAACAGAATTGACCTGATGGCACGTAATATAAGCTCCTTTTCATAATAAGAAGGGGTATGTTGCAGTACATTCAACATGAGAGCTCGTTAGGACGATTTGACGAATGCGTCGAGTGCAGTGTGAATGTGCTTACGATGGGACAATGGCCAGCATACGACAACATTCAGGTACGAGGAATGGTTATTGCTATCACAAAACATCCGCCTTTTTACGCGCGCCAACAGCACAGTTTGGCTTTTAATGGAGCTCCCGCATATCAGTGTGGTGAAAAAGGAATGAGCTACTTCGCTCTCCACTTCTTTCAGTGGCAGTTGAATGTACCCTCGTCGTATATAATTACCTGGATGAACCGATGTACAACTCATTATTTTCCATCCCGAACCAGCTTGGGGTGTAGTTCAGGACACAAGGCCCAGCACCGCGCTCAAGCTAACATTGCTAGCTAGGAAGACTCGACTCGTCATTTTGATCCTAGATCAAATGTGTCATGACAAATTTTACTAGGATAAGCACGTTAACATGTTCCGGACCGCGTGACACGCATGTTATGTCATACTTTTTTCTCTCTGTGCCGTTTCATGCATTTGGCATCCTGTTCATGCTTTGAAGGTATCAGAACACGTCTCTAGGCAGAGAATACAAATATCTCATATAAAGTGAAAGAAGCAAAGGAAATTACTGATTATTGGTATGAAAAGTAACGAAGTTGTGGAAGATCCTCGTACAACGGCGGTCCGGAATGTGTTAAATAAGCGGCACACGAAATGCATCGAGTCAACTAGCTAGAAATACCAGATTTCAAGTTATTTGCTTCAAATTTAAATGAAAGAGCCACAAACTTGACACTCTCAACCATTTCTCGGTGTTTTTTATTCCGTGCCGACTTGTTACCAGTTAACCGCCCCTGGAGCGAAGAAAAACATGGGAGGCCGAAGCAGGTAATATTCCGGTCAAGTGATATTTGCTGGGTTTGAACAGTATTGTTCGCTGCGGATTCGCTGGCGGCGTCAGGTGGTATGTGTCTGGCGCGGCGCGAAACCCGTTCTCCAAAAGTTGTTGAAGCGGGTAAGAGACAGCAGTTGCTGGAAAACGTTGATTCACGTCATCGATATTATATACGATCTCGTCACTTGCTCGGTTTCAACAACGTTGATGGAAAACGGTTTGGCGGCGAAACGCACGCTGCCTCCTGTCATTTGTAGCGAACAAAACAACTGCTTTAGCCTCTTACACAGATTCGGTATGATACAAGATTTTTGGTGGTGTTTTTCGACTTTTGGGGCTTTTACCGGTGCTTAAGTACACCTGCTACTTACCTGTAACCTGTTTGTTCTATTCTATCATGACCTCTGCTGATTGAAGTTGTGATATTGGCAGGTTACTGCTCTCATGCCACTTGAGCTCATCTCTGCAGCTTTACGAAAGTTTTTTTAATCGATTCGCGACAATCACTGGACGAAACTCCAAATGGCAACCTCGCCTTGGTCAATGTGTTTTGAAAGCCAACTTCCGAAGAGGGGTTCGTTAACAACGAGTTTTCATATTTTGAAGGGGCATGTCTGCTGCAACCAAAGATCTTGTTACTTTCAGTGCCAAAAGGAGTTGAAAGTGTCTCTGTTTCAAGCGATTGTATTATTGCTCTTCAACGATCAACCATCATGGACTGCTGCGGATATTATGATGGCTACGAAATTAGGTGGGATATACGCATCGTAACCAAAGATCTCCAAGTGATGTTAAACGTATAACTTTCAGATCAGAAGGAGTTCGTCCGCACAATGGTTTCACTTTCCGTGGCTAAAATACGCGTTCTCGTTAAAACTCCCATGAACAAGGAGGTTGGTTGAACTTCTGCATATCCTGGTTTACTAGTATGCGTTCATACTGTGCGTCAGCATTTTGAGCGCTTGGCTGAGTTTTGAGTGTTTTGCGGGTAGTTTTGAACTTTACACAGCAGTCGCTGGAAGCACTGGCGTACGCTCAAAACGCTCGATCGATATCTATACTTTCCGTGCCGCTCAAGACGCCGCCATACGCTGCCGTACACTCAAAACGCAGACGCGAAGTATAACGCAGCCTTAGCTATTGAGCTCGCTTTCTGTATCGCACCAGAAAGTTCGCGTTCATACTTCGCGATCAAGAGGAATCCCTAATTGGGAGATTGCGAGGAATGTGTGCGACGAAGGATTACGTGGGATTTGATTGATTCCGCGAAAATCGCCCTTTCTCCTTCTCGATCTGTGCCTTACTGGAAATTGCTCGGCTCAATACTGCGTTCCCTTGGACACTTTCTACAGAATCGCAGATTTTCGCAAAGTATAAACGCGGTCTGAATGCTCACTAATCCTGTCTTTCGCAAGGAATTCCTTTTCGTTGACTTTTCTAGTTCAACATTCGAATTATTGTCATCGTTCAGATCAAGGATGATGATGTATTCACGGTGAACACAGACATCAAGGAAATGCGTTTCAGAATTCGTATTTCTGAAGTTCAAATGAAGGAGACGGTCAGTTCAAAACGTTGCATGGTGGGGTACAGCATCGGTGGGAGGATTCAATCGGGGTTGGGGGGGGGGAGTGTGGGAGTGTCGTATCTGGTCGTCATAGAAATTTCCCCTAACCGCGAAGGGAAATTTCTTTCACGTTTTATATGGATTATCAGTCGGATCGCCCATCTAACGCCGAGCTCCCCTCCTCTTTAGCTGGCTTGGCTTCGCCAGGCGCACTTCATGATGGAAACGGAATTTGCTCACTCACTTAGCTGCTCATACTGCGCTGTTTTGATCGAATCGTAATAGATGGAGCAACCCACGCACGAGCTCACGTCCAGCTGCCACGCGAGCAGCTTGCTGTGTGCTCCTACTCAAGCGCGCGCTACCCACCCCTCTACGTGCTCAGCTCTTGCTGAGCACGTGCAGGAGTGGGTAGCGCGCTTGAGGGGAAGGAAGCACACTGAGGGCTACTTGATACTCCCCCTCCCTCCCCCTCAACCCCACCTGCCCCGCACGAGCACACGTCCAGCTGCCACGCCAGCAGCTCGTGCAATGGCTCGGAGTGTACCGAATGGTTGTCTTATATAGCGGAGGCTGTTATCACAATCAAAACACTGGATTGGCACATCTGAGTACCAATCACCAATCAGTTTCTGGTTTGTCTAGCAGCCGTATTCTCCTAACACTAACGTGTTCGAACCCGAGAAGCATTTTGCGGACGGACAGACATACAAACATACATACATACATACCGACAAACCGACACACAAAGTTGCTGTTTCATAGAATAGAAGGATTATGTGCAGCCCTCCCCTATCAGCCAAGATCCTATACAACAACTATTTTCGGGAGTAAAAATTTCTAGTTATTTGGTGACAACTCCCCCCCCCCCCTCCCCCCTTCTCCCTTCTCCCCCACTTGCTCGACGGGAGTTGGAATCGGGTGAAAAGAAAATTTTTTGGGAAGCTGAGAAAAGCGGGGAATTAGGGGAAAAAACTGGAGATACAGAGGTTCGGTGTGAGTTGTGGTCCTGGCACTGCGACCATAATGATGCAACTCAACCCCGATGCTGCTCGCTTGTATTGCTGAATTGGATCCCGCGTTTCTCGCAAGCTCCCATTAATTCGAGTATCTATTTTCAGGAAGATAGAAATCCACAAAGGGCCGATTTGAAGAGGAGTCAATCAAGATCGTCCAGTATAAATAGATGCACAATCGTTCGTGATCGTGGATTGAAGACAGCAAAAACTCAATCATCAGCTTTGCTGATTCTCAGAATTTATATTGCCACAGTTACAGCGTAGTAGAAGCGGGCATGCTGCGATCACTTTACGGATGGATGCCGTTCTGTTAACGAGGTGGGATGGTCTCAGTCATGGAAACGTAGCGCTACACAGTGCCAAAAGTTTGTGATAATGAAAGGTAAGCCAGCACACGTCTTGCACTTGTGTGGACGCATCGAATGGTACTCAGCAAAGATTGCATCGGGTAACTTCTCAGACCTTATGAATTTCCTGTGGCCAGAAGTAGGTCACTATGCACTAATTTACGGAGCTTACGGCGTCTCGCCAGGCTGAGACCATGCGCGTATTATAACAGAGAACTCAATTACAGACAGCTGGGTGGAAGCTGCAAAAATGCTCCCTTCCATCCCCAGCAACCGCCTAGAAGCTATGATACTCGATGGGCTGTCCCTCCCCCCACGTTATTTTCATACTGGAGGTTAAATTACATTCACTTGACAGGAACACATATCTCGCGTAGAGCGGCCTGCCGAACTCCTGCTCGTCAAATGGTCGAGCAGCGAGCATGTGTGTGCAGGTGTCGTAGATTAGGGAGCATCCTGCAATCACACCTTCTATGGCACTGTTGGGCTTGGAGAGGTCATTTTGCACGTTCAACAGCTCTCTTTCATGCTAAATAACATGTCTCACCTTGGCCAATCTGTTGAACTCCTCTGAAGTTGCCGAATGACCCTGAACCGGTCACACGCCATCCATCGAAACCAATCAGAGTTGGTGCGAGGCTGGGTCACACTTGGTCACAGCGAAAATTACAGGTTTTCCTGGTGGCATATGCAGTTCCTTTTGGTGCCCCCACCAAGTCAAACAGCGCCGCCTCTAGCTTCATTGCTACGCACTTTTGAAGCGCTGGAGTTGCACGCTTCTACGGCTGGGACCAGCCCCCATTGTGAGCGAAAAACATTTTTGATTTTTTTAATGGTGTAGCAATATGCTGCGCACCTCCTTGAGTCAGACCCATTGCAGATTCCCGGTTCGAGCAGCCGATTTGAAGAAACGAATAGGCTCGCTTATGGAAAGAGATTATTTGCGAAGATGCGACGAAGATCCAAATTTGTACCAATATGTCGCATAGCATTATTATTGTACTGTACAGTTATTTGATTGTAAAAAAATAGTAGTTTTTTCTTGTTGATCACGAAATAAAGATGAAATTCCATTTTCTCCGCTTCCAATGACGGTTACCGCCCTTTTTACTAGAAGAAGTTCATTGAAGAAGTGTGCAAGTCTCTTGTTTAGACTTCATGAAAGCTTCTTCAGCACTATTACGGGACAGGTGACATGGCTGCTGCTCCAGTTTGGTTGGGTAGTGCAGCAATACGACGTTATATAATGTTTATTAGGTAATTTGAAAGACACTTTGGCGCTATTGAACTATTCCTACCCCAAAAAAAAACTCAAAAAATTTTTTTCGCTGAAACGTTGCCTATAGATGTAATTCGATGCGCTGATCACGAATATCACATCCGTTTCGAGCGCTGGCGTCATTTGGCGCCCACCACTTTTTTCACCAAAGTTGATGAAAACTTGCATATGGGGGTTAATCGACATCCTGATCACGAATATCACACTGGTTTCAGGCGCTGGCGCCATTGGCGCATAATGGCGCCAAATGGCGCCAGCGCCAAAAATAAATGTTGGATTCGTAATCAGGACCTCAATTAACCCCCATATGCAAGTTTTCATCGACTTTGGTGAAAAAAGTGGTGGGCGCCAAATCGGCGCATAATGACGCCAGCGCTCAAAACAGATGTGATATTCGTGATCAGCGCATCGAATTACATCTATAGACAACGTTTCAGCGAAATTTTTTTTTCGAGTTTTTGGGGTAGGAATAGTTCGATAGTGCCGACACTTTTTCTATTAGACACCTTTTGCGGCCCAGTTCGGTGACCGGGAGGGGGCGGTATTTTGCACTTTTGCGGCGCAGTTTATCGACGGGGGGGGCATTTTGCTTTCCATAGATGTGTCGACCCATCTAGGTAGCGTTTCTCGAGTTGACACGTTTTGGGATGGTGGCTAGACGATCCTGCTCCAGCTTTACAAGAGTTCACAAGTTTTACCAAAGTGAGATTTGCAAACCGGAACAAGGGAAGCAGTGATAGTACAAAATGCCCCCCCCCCGGTCGATAAACAGCGCCCGCTTCTGCTGCTTCCTATCGACGTGTTGAGCTATCCAGAGAGTTATTGTATGAGCTTACATGAGTTGACAGGTTCTACCATGGTGGCTTGACGAGCGTACTCAGCTTCACGGGAGTTCACAGGTTTCACCAGAGTAGGTATGCAAACGGAAAATGGAGCCCCAAAAGTCCCCCCCCCCGGTCGATAAACAGCGCCCGCTTCCTATCGACGTGTTGAGCTATCCAGAGAGTTATTGTATGAGCTTACATGAGTTGACAGGTTCTACCATGGTGGCTTGACGAGCGTACTCAGCTTCACGGGAGTTCACAGGTTTCACCAGAGTAGGTATGCAAACGGAAAATGGAGCCCCAAAAGTCCCCCCCCCCAGTCGCTGAACTGTGCCGCCTTATATTAGTTTGATCTTCTAATTAAGTTATGACGGATCCCGTTTTCCTCAAATGGCGACTGGTGGGTCCGGCTTCGGTGTGGTCGATATGTTATATCAGGTAAAGCTCGTTTCTTAAGACCACTTGGGGCTGTGTGCACTTGTGGGCACCGAGACTCCTACAGGAGAATGAAAGGTTAGGAATGACAACTTTTCAAGGCGATCTTAGGAATGACACCTTTTCAAG